TAATTATATTAAAGAGACTTTGTTAATTATATAAAGAAGGAATAAAATAGTATTTTCTTTTCTAATTTCACGAGATTAGATAGGAATGCTAATCACATCATTAAGCCCCAGTTTGGGTTTTTTTTTTGGACTAAAAAATCACAAAAGGATAACAAAAAGTTAAAAAAGTTAAAAATCACACAAAAGATAAAAAAATTGTCATTTTAAAATCAAAAAGTCAAAAAAGTCAAAAAATAAAACAAACAAAAAAATTTCAAGTTAAAAAAATCAAAAAAAAAAATAAAAACCAACTAAGAAAATCATTACCAAACGACCCTAAATCATATTTATTTGTGATTACTAGTCTAGTGATTAATAGTCTACCTAAACAATCTAATTGACAATTAACTAACCAAACATGCCATGTGTGGGGCTTACCTCACTCGTTAATCTTTATAAACGGGACCTTAGAACATATTCAAAGGTCAGATTTGTTTTAGGATAAATTACACCTCTCTCCCTTTATATTTGATCTCTTTATTACTTTAGTTCTTAAGGTTTATTTTTTCTCGCTTTGAATGTTCATGTTCAATTTTTACTCAATTTACTTTTAAATCTAATTTCTGTTAAAAATTAAATTAAAAAAATGACACATTCACAGTTATGTTTCATAAAAATATTTTGCTTTATATAATTCACATATCTGACATAAACTTAAATTTTAATATAATAATATATTTTTATATTATGTGACAGTTATTATAATATTTTCTGTTTAATTCTAAACAAAAGTTAACTTTAAGAATAAATTGAAGAAAAAAAAATTAAAAAGATTAAAGTGAAAAAGTGACCAAATATAAAGGAGTAAAGCGTAATTCATTCTTTATTTTACTTCATACGTTATGGGATTATATTACCAACCACGTGGGCCTCACAAGAACAAACAAAATATATATGAAAATGTCTCGTAGCTCGAAAGGGTCGAGCTCGAAACGGCTCGAAAATGGAAGAAGAGGGGAGAAAGAGAGGGAAGAGGAGGAGAGAGGGAGAAAGAGAGAGGAGAGGGCTCGTCACTGTGGGTCGTCGCCGATCGTCGCAGCAGACCGTCGCCTCGCCCAGTCCCGGTCGTCTGCCCAGCCCCGCCGACGTCGCAGCACCACCGTCAGCTGCCCAGCCTCCCCTCCTCCTCCAACCGGTTTTTATGGCCCCCTCCCCTCCCTCCTCTTCCTCCTCCTCCTCCCTTCTCTTCTTCTCCCTTCTTCTTCTTCTTCTTCGTTCTGTAACAAAACCAGGGAAGAAAGGAAAAAAAAAAAAAAAAAAAATTCGACACCAAAACGATGTCGTTTTGGTGTCGAGCCGCGATTTCGAGCCGCGGTTTCGAGCTACGTAGCATGGTCGAAATATATATACATATATGTTTCGCATGTGGGGCTATGAATACCTTGATGGTCTAACAGTTATAGCAAAAACTCAACCCAACATTTGATGGCCCATGCTGCCTAATTCAAAATTGAAGTCCAATAAATACATCACACGGTCTCAGGGCTTCTACAATTTCTAGCATGAAATGGATTTTTTTCAAAGATCAGGTCTTCACTTTAAAGTTAAAGTCCATGTCAATCAGCTCAAGACTCTCTCAAATGATGTTTTGTATTGAGTAATGGTATGGTTACCTTATTTATTTTAGAAAGGTTTGGTTTTAATTTTTTGAATTTAATATTTTAAAAATTGATTTTTTTTATTTTTTAGATATACTTAATGTAAATACAATTAAAAAGTATAATATTTGTGAAAAAAAACCTTAAAAAAATTCTCTAAATATCAAAAATACAAAAATAAAAAATTACGAAAAGTCAATTCATTTTCGTACTCTTGTGTATTTATTAGTTTTTTTTTAAATATTTTACTTTTTAGGTACATCTATGTCAGGTGCATTAAAAAAAAAAATTGCTTACAATATTTAAAAAAATCACTAAAAAAATATGAAAAATAAAAACCTCAATTTTCAAAAAATTAAAATTTGAAAATTAGAACCATTTAAAGTTTTTATGTATATATTATTGATAACAAAAATCAAGTCAATTCAATAATTATAATCACATAATTTAATAATATTTGTCTTCAAAAAAAAAAAAAGGTTTGTTTTTAAAATTATATTTGTCTTCAGTTTTTTTTTTTTTGAATATGAATGTGATGAAATTATGTTCTTACAATTACCAAATCGATCTAATTTTTTGTTATTTTTTATGAACAATCTACTCACAAAAACTTAAAAAATCAATAGATTAGATTGTTATAAAAAGGATAAACTACTAATAAATTCTAATAGTTGGATTTAATTCCTATCAAAACCTTTTGAAAATAAGTCTTGGTAAAATTGTGGCTAAAAATAATTTTTTTGTGACAATTTTTTATATATGTCGCTAAAAGTTGACAATTAGTGACTTTTTTTTATCATAATTTTTATAAATTGTCGTTGAAACTTACAATTAGTGACTTTTTTTTATCATGATTTTTATAAATTGTCGTTAAAACTTATAATTAGTGACTTTTTTTATGATAAATTTTTTCTATAGGCCCTATTAAATAATAAGCCAACTTATTAAGATCTACACGTAAGTACTTCTAAAATAAAACTCTTACTGAGCACATGAGCTCTCTTTTATCAAGAAGTTATTTGGTGGTTTAAGAATATTTCATCTGCTGTGTTACGTAACCCGAATAGACAGAGGCTTGACTGCCCCGAAAATTCAAACGACGTCATTTGATTTTTTATTTTTTCCTTTTCTTCTTCCTTTGGTCTCTTTTTCCTTCCCTTTCTTCTTCCTTCTCCTCTCTGCTGTGCTGCTCTGGAGCTCACTCAAAACTCAACAAACAAACAAACAGACTCAAAAAAAAAATCAAAAATCAAACCCACACAGCAACAGCAACAGACAGACCCAAATCAAAAATCAAAACTCAAAAATTCTCACAAATCACCAAATCTACACAAATCAAAAAAATCAAATTCAAAATAAAAAAAAAATGAGGGGAAAGAGAGAAGAACAAAGAAAGAAGAAGAGGAGGAAGAAGGAGGAGCTCTTCGTCGATCTGTGTATGCACACACACAGATCTCTCTCGCCATCACGCCGTTGCCGCTGTTGCTCTCCGTCGCCTATCGCCATTTACAGATCTCTCGTCGCCATCATCATCACGCTGTTGCTCTTCTCTCTTCCTCTTCTCTCCTTTCTCTCTCTCGCCTCTCGCTTATGTTTCTCTCTCTCGCCTCTGTGTTCAAAAGGAAGAAGAAGAAAACAAAAGAAAGAAAATGAAGAAAAAAATAATCCCAAAACAAAGTAATTTTGAGTTTCAAGCCAAATTCGAGCTGTTAATTTCGGACCCTCAAATAATTTTCTTCATATTATTTATGTTTGGATAAATATCTAATTATCTTTTTGAAAGAGACAAAAAGAATAATAAAATTTACTGTTTTAATTAATAATATTGGGCACTATTTAAATTTGTTAGGAGAATAGAACAATTTCTCTTTTCTTATTGCATTTTGTTTGACATTTGATGTGACACATAACATAATAAATAAAATGCAATGAGAAAATATAATTACACTAATATTATTAAAACCAATTTGGAATTTCTTCACAAAATCATTTCACTTGCTCAAAGAAGAAAGAGTTAGCCGGAAATTCTAAATAATTTATTAAATTTTTTATTAAATTAAACCCACACACATGTTGCTCTATATGAGATTATAACATTTTTCGAGAAGAAAAGAACTGATGGGGACCACAGACCTTTGTGCCAGGAGGTATTTAGGTTCTCGGGAAAATTGCATTTAATAGTAGAAAACAATTTCATTTTTACAGTGACACAAGTTTTCTAAAGAAAAGAGTGGTAGAAAAAGAAAAAGCCTCCGACCTTCACTGGGGTATTGAAAGTCGCGTGTGATTGGTGGAAAAAAAAAATTATTATTTATTTATTTTTTTGTTTTTAGTCAATGAGCAGGCGACACTTCACTGGGGGTTGTCAGTAGGGGTTGCCCCACTTGGAGTCGGTAGCACGGCTCGGTAGAAAATGACCCGAACTTTTACATACACCCACATATTTTTGTACATCTTTATTCATCTCTCTTTTAATACATTTCATTTCAAATAAAAAAAAGAAGATAAACAAAGTAGAGAGAGTCAATGGGGAGGCGACACTTCACTGGGGGTTGTCAGTAGGGGTTGCCTCACTTGGAGTCGGTAGCACGGCTCGGTAGAAAATGACCCGAACTTTTACATACACCCACATATTTTTGTACATCTTTATTCATCTCTCTTTTAATACATTTCATTTCAAATAAAAAAAAGAAGATAAACAAAGTAGAGAGAGAGAGAACAACCTCAGTTTATATCTAAAACAAAGGAGGGGCAAGAGAGAGAGAGGGAGAAAGATAGAGGAAGAGAGAAGAGAGAAGAGAGACGATGACGGTGAGCAACGGTGATGGCGCCACTTTCAGACTCTATTTTCTCTACGATTTTTCTTTTTTTTTCTCTAGTGAAAGATGAAGGCAAAAAAAAAAAAATTTGTTGGTTGATGATGATGAGTTGATGATGATGATGATGATGTTGATGAAGATGCTGTTGTTGATGAGATGTTGTGTTGATGAAGAGGTTGTTGTTGATGATGATGCTTTGTTCACTAGCTGCTTCTTCTTTCTTTTTCTTTTTCTTCTTTAGATCTTCAGAAAAACGAGAAAAGAGAAAAAAAAAAAAATCAAAACGACGTCGTTTTGATTTTTGAGCCAATCAAGCCACGCGGATTTCGAGCTACGTAGCGGGTTAAGTTTTCTATATGTTTGGTGTAAGTTTTTTTTATGTGTGTCACATTTGTATCCAAAAAAATTTCATCCATTAAGATTGTTCTACTTATATGATGTATATATATATATATATAGGGGTGTTTGAAAAATCAAAAATTAGTTTTTTTGAGTTAAAATTCACAAAAAAATAAAATAGGTTAATAAGATAAAATGTCGCATCAAATTTATAATTTTTTTTTTATCTAACAAACATTGTATCTAACAATAAAAAAATTCAATCTTCTTTTCAAACACAAATATTTTAATCTATTAAAATAAAATTAAAAAAAAAAAAAAAACTAAAATGGCCAACCGTCCCTTCTCGGCAATGGTTAACAGTCAGAGCTCCACTTGTGCTCGGATCGTAGAAGGGATGAAGATGCCCTCTCTACATTCCTCCCATTCACAATGGTTCCAATAGCAGACATCTCCTCCACCGCCTTAGGGGCAGGCGGCTTTTCAATCTCAACAATCCTTTCTAACATCTGCACCACTCTCCCCATAGTTGGCCTCTTAGACGGTTCCCCTTGAATGCACCAAAAGCTTACCTGAATTGCCCTCATCACTTGCTCCATATCCGCCTTATGATCATCGACAAGCCTTGCGTCAACAATTTCCATCACATTTCCCCTCTCAAACTCTTCATAAGCCCAAGAGAACTCGAAATTCCTTCTCCCACTCACTATCTCCAACAAAACTATCCCATAACTGTAAACATCAGCTTTTGATGTTATTGGAAGATTTGCAGCCCATTCTGGTGCCAAATATCCTATATTCCCTCTAAAACTTGTCAACGTTCGGTACCTATGGTTCCTAGGATTAATGAGTCGTGCTAGGCCAAAATCTGAGACTTTGGCATTGAAGTTCTCGTCCAAGAGAATGTTTTCTGGCTTTATATCACAGTGCACAATGCAATCTCGACACTCCTCATGAAGATATTTGATACCCCTTGCAGTGCCTCGAGCTATGTTAAATCTACAATCCCAACTCAATAACTTTCCCGACTTTTCTTCTGATGAGAAAAGGAACATGTCGAGGGACCTATCTTTCATGAACTCGTATACCAGAAGCCTGTGACGTCCTGTAGAGCAAAATCCGATCAATCTTACTAGATTCAAATGGTGGGTGCTACTTATAGTTGCAACCTCCATCTTAAACTGTCTCTCTCCCTGCTCGATCCCCTCAAGCAGCTTCACTGCAACAACAGTGCCATTGGCAATAACACCTTTGTAAACAGCCCCAAGTCCTCCTCCTTTCCCTAGCTGCTCCTTGAAACCTTTTGTGGCGCATTGGAGCTCTTTGTATGAGAACTGAACTGGTGCACTCGATTCATACTCGACAAAAGCATATTGATCCGGAAAACCCCCAAATTTCGGGCTACTACTGCTACGACGACACCACAACCACAAACCGGCCTCTAACAAAATGAAACCCACGGCGGTGCCTATGACCACAACGAGGACAATCCGTGCATGCAACCTCCAATCGTTGCGCCTAGGCGAGGAAACAGAAGGGCTCGGTATTATGGGTCCACAAACCTTGAGAAACGAAGTGCTAGGTAGTGTAGGTGACCGATACCCGCTTACAAAACCTGGAAATTTCATGTAAATCCTCCCAGTCCCATCCGACAATGAGGTGGCAGCAATACAAGGAGAACTGGTTATGCAATTCAACCTAGACGTTGATGTAGACATGAAGAAAATTTGCGAAGGGATGTCGGGAGGGTATGTCAAGAATTCTGTGTGGTTTAATTGCAACATGGTTACGTTTTTAGGACAATCCTCTATATTCATTTTTCTCTTACACCCTTTTCTACTATCTTTCGGATCAATCGGATCGAAATTCATGGAAGGACATATACAAATGGGTTTTGAATCATTGTAACTACAAATACCCATATTCCCACAGTACCCAAAAACTTGACATTGATCTTTTACAGCTACCCATCTTACAATGCTTGTTTTAGTTCCCTTAACAGAGCTATAAATCCTCAAATTCCCATCATTTTCAAGCTTCAAGAACCTAATTATATCACTTCCTTCAGCATAATCACTGCTGTAAACCATGGCCACAGGTCTCGAAAGCGATTGATCATGTAGTGACAATGCACCAATTGATTGAAGAACTAAATTGGGTGATGTTAAGTTTGAATGAAATGATGAATTCAAAGCCAAATTCCAGTACAGAATAGTGTTATTCCATTTGAGAGTCAAGTTTCCAAAGCTAAGAAGACTAAAAGAGTACAACCCAGATCGCAATGCTTTGTTAACCGTGAAGTTTTGTGAGGGTAAGATTGTATCAGTAGGGTTATCGAAGGTGGACCACACAGAAACGGTGGCGTTTCGGAGGACGAAGTTACCTGAGTCGTGGAGGGCGGCGGAGGAGACGCCGTGGCCGGCGGTGTTGGACTGCCAGACGACGGCGGTGGAGGAGGAGCCGTTGACGAGGCGGAGGTTGCCGTCAACGAGGAATTGGAGGGAGGCGGAGGAATCGGAGGCGCCGCCGCCGGGGTCGGAGGCGCCGGCGATCCAGACGGGGATGCCGTTGTAGGTGATGGCGGCGAAGAAGGCTGCGCCGCCGCCGGAGGAGATGAAGCCGAAAGAGAAGGTGGTGTTTGGGGAATTCCAAGTTTGGTTAGGGTTTGAAGCATAGAGGGTTGAACCAGGAGATATATCTGCTGAGATGAGGATACAGAAGAAGAAGATGATGAAAAGACAGAACAAGACTGGGAATACTGTTGATGGTGGTGGCTTCATTCTCTCTCTCTCTCTCTCTAAATTTTGTGGGTGTGAGGAGAGAGAGTATTGGGATGCAGTGGAAGATGGAGGAGGAGCGAGCGGGGTTTGACTTGGAACAGAACAGACATGGGTAGAGAGAGACAGGTGATTTTTTTAGTTCATTTTGTTCTTGTTTGACAATTACAATCACGACTCTGCGTAATTGTTTGACCATGTCTTTATCTATATCAATTTTGAAGGACAAATTATCGGAATGTGACTTGTTTGAGGTATCGATTTGAGCGGTCCATTCATTTGGGTTCCATGAATGGAGGACCCAGATGCATTTATTGTATTGTAACATGGTCGGCTGTAGCTTCGATTAATTTTTCGTTAATTTTAACAAAAAGTCAAACTATGACCCAAAATTAATGTCATTCTTATCCATCAAAAAATTAATATTAATTAGCTTGATTTAAACTTTGGCTAAAATTTTATTTGACTAAACTGTGCTATGTGTGTGGGTGATTTTCCGACCACACTGCCCGCTTAGTAACCAGTTGGAGAGCACTGGCAGAATAGATGGCACCTGACGGACCTGCAACAGAAATATAAGAATCCCGCGGTGGTTTCGACCACCCGGGGGCACTCCGACGATCAAGTCAGTATATCTCTCAAAGATAAATCAAGTACACCCTTTTCTACTATCATTCGGATCAATCGGATCGAAATTCATGGAAGGACATATACAAATGGGTTTTGAATCATTGTAACTACAAATACCCATATTCCCACAGTACCCAAAAACTTGACATTGATCTTTTACAGCTACCCATCTTACAATGCTTGTTCTAGTTCCCTTAACAGAGCTATAAATCCTCAAATTCCCATCATTTTCAAGCTTCAAGAACCTAATTATATCACTTCCTTCAGCATAATCACTGCTGTAAACCATGGCCACAGGTCTCGAAAGCGATTGATCATGTAGTGACAATGCACCAATTGATTGAAGAACTAAATTGGGTGATGTTAAGTTTGAATGAAATGATGAATTCAAAGCCAAATTCCAGTACAGAATAGTGTTATTCCATTGGAGAGTTAAGTTTCCAGAGCTAAGAAGACTACAAGAGTACAACCCAGATCGCAATACTTTGTTAACCGTGAAGTTTTGTGAGGGTAAGATTGTATCAGTAGGGTTATCGAAGGTGGACCACACAGAAACGGTGGCGTTTCGGAGGACGAAGTTACCTGAGTCGTGGAGGGCGGCGGAGGAGACGCCGTGGCCGGCGGTGTTGGACTGCCAGACGACGGCGGAGGAGGAGGAGCCGTTGACGAGGCGGAGGTTGCCGTCGGAGAGGAATTGGAGGGAGGCGGAGGAGTCGGAGGCGCCGCCGCCGGGGTCGGAGGCGCCGGCGATCCAGACGGGGATGCCGTTGTAGGTGATGGCGGCGAAGAAGGCGGCGCCGTCGTCGGAGATGAAGGAGAGAGAGAAGGTGGTGTTTGGGGAGGTCCAAGTGTGGTTTGGGTTTGAAGCTTTGAGGGTTGAACCAGGAGATATATCTGCTGCTGCTGCTAAGGTAATGATGAAGAAGAAGAGAGAGAATGGGATTGAAAATGCTACTCCTACAGAATGTGGTTGCTTCATGTTTTCTCTAACACGCACTCCCCTGTTGATAGCTCTAGTTTTCTCTCTCTATGTATGTGGGCATGTATATATATATGTGTGTGTGTGTGCGTGTGTTTATGGTGGTGGTGGGTATGAGGTGTGAGAGAGTTTAGCAGCGAGGTGTAGTGAGAGAGAGATGGAGGAGAGAGAGGTTTTCACTGGAAGAGAGTGGTGGTGGTCTTGTTCTTCCATTGTTGGCTATTCAATTACCTACGTCATGTCATGTGGTTCTGGTTCATTGACTGCTTTCAATTACCTATACGATACGTTCTGCCAGAGGCTTTTATTTTTAGGACAAATTACATATACCTTCCCACATTTAGTAAAATTACAAATAATTCTTAGATTTGAAAAATTATAGATACTTTTTAAAAGTTATACTTACCTAATAAATTAGGAGGCAAATTATTATGAAAATATACATTTTAAGGGATAATTTGTTATGAAAATATAAATCTCAGGGGGTATTTATAATTTCTGAAACCTCAAAAGTATCTGTAATTTAGCTAAACCTTTAGGGAGGTATATGTAATTTGCCAATATTTTTATTTGAGAAAAGTTTGGGATGATGAAATTTTTTTCATAAAAATGATCATGAAAAATTTATGATCTTTGGATTACCTTGATTAGTGTGCGATATTTTATTCTAAGTCTAATCCAAAGGTCACAAAACTTTCATAATTATTTTTATGAAAAATTTTTCATGATACTTAGCATTGCTGGATATGGGACAATGATAGAAATTACTAAAAGTAGTGTTTTAAGAGCATCTCCAAAGGTAGTAGGCATTTTACCTATCTAATATTACTATAAAGTATATATTTTATTTTGCCTATCAACTATTTCATGTTTTTACTCCAACCATGCTCTTTATTTTAGCTATTTATCCAAATGCTATTAATTTTATAGAATGCCACGTCAACAACAAAGATGGAGGGAAATGATCCTAATGACTGAATACATTTTGCCTAGCGTTGAAGGCTAGCTACATGTAGCTAGTGAATATGAGTTGAGCCAAAATGCCTAATCATATGCCTAGTGCATTGGAATTGAAAAAAGTGAATCACACTAGGCATTTTAACTAACAAGTATTATATGCCTAGTGCATTGGAGATGCTCTAAAGCAATCACAAATGATGTGGTATTCATTTTTAAAAAAAAAAAAAACAAACACAACAACACTGTGGCAGTAGTTGAGACTCACTGTCACATCATTAGTGGTGACATTATTTAGTGCTCCCACTCATTTTCCTTACTGATATATTAACAAAATTTATTAAAATACGATTTTATTTATTTATTTATGATTTTTTTTTTCCTGATGGGAATTCATTATAATTGGATAGATACTTTTCAAGAAAGTGGGTAGGTGATATTGCCGGTAGCTCAATTAATAGCCATATAAATACATCGAGTAATTGTGTCATTGGACATCCTTGGACCACATGAGGTTTGAGGTTACAGTTATGAATTTTAAATAATTTATTAATTTTTTTATTAAATTTTTTTTATATGAGTGTGGAACACATCACTACAAGAAAATACATTTTTACCGATCATTTTTAGCTATCAAAAATAATTTAGTTGCCAAAAGTCACGAAATTGGCTACCAAAAATAATATTAGTCGGCAAAAATCAAGTTTTTAGCTACTAATTTTTTTTAGTAGGGAAATGTTGATTATTGGCGATTAAAAAAAATTTAGTAGCTAAAAATATTACAATTGGCGACTAAAAAAATTTTTAGCAGCTAAACATATCACAATTAGCGACTAAAAGAAAATTTAGTAGCCGTAGAGGTACCTTTAGCTACTAAATTGTTTGGTAGCCAAATGAAAATTAAAAATTTAATTTTTAATCTTTGCCGACCAAAATTTTGGTCGCCAAATGTTAAGTTTCGGCGACAAAATTCATTTTAGTCGCTGTAGACCTACTTTTGGCTACTAAATTGTTTGGTAGTTGAATGAAAATAAAAAATTTAATTTTTAATCTTTGCCGACCAAAATTTTGGTCGTCAAATGTTCAGTTTCGGCGACAAAATTCCTTTTAGTCGCTATAGACCTACTTTTGGCTACTAAATTTTTTGGTAGCCGAATGAAAATAAAAAAATTAACAAAATAGTTATTTTATTTTATTAACAACAATACCGTTAGTCTCCACTTGAAAATTTGACTAAACAAAATAGTTATTTTATTTTTTTATTTTTTTATTTTTATGAAGAGGTTGTACACCCACCATCCAAAAATATTAATATCTTATTTTATTTTTTAATATCTCAAAATATTAATTTTTAAAAAAATTAATTATTAAAATAATATAAATTTCTTATTTTGTCCTTTTTTTAAATCTATATAATAAGACATAATAGATTTTGAAAATGTATAAAATGTATGTGAGATACATTTGATATTAACGGTATAGATCTTTTCAAACAAAAATAAACGGCTGAGATGAATTTTTTTCCCGCCCGTCTCTCTATCTCCCCTCTTTCATCTCTGCCCCCTCTCTTTCATCCATCCTCTTTCATACGCTCCTCTCTTTCTACCTCTCTTCTCTGCCTCTTCTCCCACGACGACACTGCCACTCACCGACTACCGACCACCTCTCCTCGCCTCTTGCTGTCCTTTCTTCTCTCGACCACCGACTCTCTTTTCTCACCCTCCTCCTTCGCTGACGCCCTGTCCCGTCACCGCCGACAACGAAGCTGTTCTTCATGAGATAAAAAGCCCCAATAATAGATTTGAAGAAAGTTAGAAGGTTGTTAACAAGTTGAATCTATTAAATTTTTCAACAAATTTGTTGAATTTGTTAAAAAGCCCCAATAATAGATTTAATATAATTTTGATGTTTTTCATGGTAGTGTTTTGATCAACGTGAAATTTTTAGTTGAAGTTTTTGTGCATGTGGATTTTTCTGTGATGAGTTGTGTGATGTAATTTTTTTAGTCAGTGAGTTCTTAGTTATGTGATTAGATTGGTTCATGTTGGAAAGCAGAGGGTTAAATTTGTTTCTTTTATGCTGTGTTTGGATCATGAATGTATTTGGGTAGGGTTTTGGAAAGGGAAAGATAAATTTGGAAAGACAATATGAATAAAATATAATTTTTTATTTTCCTCTCCCTCCACTCAAATCCATGATTCAAGTATTTTTCTCATTTAGTCTTTTGGATTTTTAGTAACTAATTTGTATTGTTGTGTGCCCGAATTGATTTTTGACAGAAGATTGTAATAGTAGAGAGATAGTTACATTATTTGTTGGGTAATGCTACTCATACTATCTTTTTTCTACTCTACGTGTGTAAAATACACGAGTATACATGGTAATCCAAATGTGTTATAAAAGTGTGTTGTAGGGTAAATTACAAATACATTCCCTATTTTTGACTCACTCAAATTTTGGAAAATACATTCTATTTCTTAAGATTTCAAATCACATAACAACAGTTAGTGAACTATTAATGAATTTTGCTAATGACAATTGTTAATTTTATTTTTTATTTTTTAAAATTTCAATTTAACCCTCAACAGAACACATAGTCCTCTATGTATATTTTTATATCCACAAACCAACCACCACCAAGTCTCCCTCTCTCTTATTGATGCCGGCAACTGGGGGTGGCATTGAGTCAATTTGCTTTTAATCCATGTACTACCTCATCCTGTGGAGCCAATTTGTTTGTCCTCACTGGAATCTCTCATTGTGTTTATTTCTCTCTCTCTCTCTCTCCCTGTGATTTGCAAATGTGTTTGGATGGGCTGGGTGGGAGAGGGGTGGTGGGTTGGCAGTTGAGGGTGGGTAAGGAATACAAATATTTAGACACGAGAATTAGATAAGTCGAACGCTTAAGACACATACTCACATCTAACTCCTTTCTTCAAGTCCATGTAACGTAGGTAATACTACTAAATGCATGCGGTTGTTAGTGCTTTATTGTGTTTAAAACAAGCCTAAATATGCATTTTTGTAAATTATTTGTGAAACTAATGGCTAGATGCTTTGGGGTTTTTTTGACATCACACATGTTGAAGATCCATCACGATTTGGTCTATTGAGGGAGTTGTTTCTTCAAGAATTTGTGTAAAATGGTGCATTTGGAACAATTTGTTGCAGGTTGATGTATTTGATTAATAGTAGCACTAACAAGCATGCATATGACATACAACATGAAACAATTGAAATTTTGCAATTTTTTGAATGTTTGTTATCAAGTTTTGAAAATTTCCAGTTGTTTGAATATATAATATTAGTGATTTTGTTAAATCATTGATAGAATTTAGGGTGTTGAATGTTTTAATATGTTATTTTTATAGTAAGTTTTGGGGCGAAGTTGACGTTGTTTGTAATCTGAAAATTGCAGCTGCTAATGCACTTGAGATTTTAAATTTCACACGAATCAATGGAAAGCCAATTAGAATAATGTTTTCTCACCGAGATCCTACCATTCGCAAAAGTGAATTAGCGAATGTTTTCATCAAGAATTTGGATGCATCCATAGACAACAAGGCATTGCATGAAACTTTTGCTGATTTTGGTAGTGTGTTGTCTTGCAAGGTAGCCATTGATGCCAATGGTCAATCAAAAGGCTATGGGTTTGTGCAGTTTGACCAGAAAGAAGCTGCACAAAATGCAATCAAACGGTTAAATGGCATGTTGATAAATGATAAACAAGTTTATGTTGGCCTTTTTGTCCGTCGCCAGAAAAGAAAGTGAATGGATCACCAAAGTTCACTAATATTTATGTGAAAAAATTTTCTGAGACTACTACTGATGAGGACCTTATGAAATTTTTTGGCAAGTATGGTCCGATCACCAGTGCAATTGTTACGAGGGATGCAAATGGAAAGTCCAGATGTTTTGGTTTTGTAAATTTCCAGAACCCAGATGATGCTGCTGCTGCAGTAGAGAACTTGAATGGGTCCTCTTTAAATGATGACAAAGTTTTGTTTGTGGGGAAGGCTCAAACGAAAGCAGAAAGAGAGGTAGAATTTAAAGCCAAATTTGAACAGGAAAGAAACAGTAGATTTGAAAAATTACAAGGTGCTAATTTATATCTCAAAAATCTTGATGACAGCGTTACTGATGAAAAACTGAAGGAGTTATTCTCCAAGTTTGGAATCATAACATCGTGCAAGGTATATTTGGTTCAAGTGAAATTCATGTTGGTCTGTTTGGTGTATTATTCTCTTTATTTATTTATTTTCCCCCTATTTTATTTATTATTTATTTAATTTGTGATTTGTGAATCAGATCATACTTGATCCACAAGGGGTGAGTAACGGTTCTGGTTTTGTGGCCTTCTCAACCTCCGTGGAAGCTACAAGAGCTGTAAGACTGCCTTCTCTTTTTGAACTTTAGATCTCTTTTTCCTATCATTCAACCACAGAGTTTGTCTAATTCATTGTGTTGATTGTTATCCATGTTCTTCAGTTGAATGCAATGAATGGCAAGATGATTGGACAGAAACCTTTATATGTTGCCGTGGCCCAGCGCAAAGATGAAAGGAGGGCACAATTGCAGGTGATTTTCTTCATTGCATTATTTCTTAGTAATGTAATGTAATATAGTCTCTCTCTCTCTCTCGTGTGTGTGGGAGAGGGGCATGTATGTTGTCTGTGCTTATGTCATTGATAGATATGATGATAAAAATGATAATAAGTTCATCATTTTTATGGTTTCTGTTCATCATTTTTCAACGAATTTGCTAAATTTTTTTTTTTGTTGTGTTCTTCAATTTTTATGTAGCTTTCAGCTTAATGTATTGGGTTTTTTGACCCAGTGATGGTACAGTTAACAATGATTTAATATTTCCGTTATTTTTCTTGGTTTGTATGACTTCAATTCCTAGTTTTCTGCTTGAAAGCTAGGTAAAAACTGTGCATTGCTGCCATATTGTTTTCTGCTTCAAGACCCATATTGTTAAAATTAAATGGGTAGCCCTGGATTGAACAATTGGAATAAGGTGCAACGGTTAGGCATTACAGGACCAATCTCTTGGAGTGGGCCCACGGAATAAGGTGCAACATCCATACGTGTTCACTAACATGGATGAAAAGCTTATTGTAAACCAAAGCTTTAGTTTATGTGACTGGCATATCCCTTGAGGACATCTTATTGCGAGTTTTGTATGATATTTGATGAATTTCCATGGTGATCAGATTTATCAGTTCTATGACAATGTTTTTTTATTTTATTTTTTGGCTTTGTTTTCTTAAGCTTGATAAATATTTCTTTAGTTCTATGTTAATTTTGCTACGATCTTCTGTGCTGATGGACTGAATGAAATTCAATGAAGCAATCATCTTCCTATTATGGTGTCAACATCTATCCACCGAGAATGATAAATTGGCATTATTTAATTTAGAGTGAGTAACAGTTTGAGTTCTTTACTGGTTGCTTGTGGTCATATATGTCCACGCATATTGGCAAATATGTTGTTTCATTCCTATTTTACTTCTTCTAAATCTTTGATGCATCAATATTAAAGTACTGATAAAGGATTCTACATACAGTTCCTCATGCAAATATGTCTCTGTCTCTGTCTCTGTCCGTCTGTTGTCTGTTCTCTCTCTCTCGCTCTCTCTCTCATAAAACTCCAATAAAGTAAAAAGTATAAACAATAAATAAAATTAAAAAATATTAATTTAAAAAGCTTGATCTATTTTTCACATCTCTAAAAAAATTAGCAGCAAATATTTTCACAAAATTTTATCTTAATTTGAAATTCCCTCTCAAATTGGGGATTCCCCCCAAAATTTTGCCCTAACCCTTCTCCGTTTCTCATCTCACTCTCACATACAACTCCTTCTCATTCCTCCTCCCTCACGGACGATTTTGTGTAAATCCAAAGTCGCCACCGCCTGAAATCCAAAGTAGCTACCGCCGACTATTACATTCTCACCAGGTAAGTTGGTTTCTCTCTTTCTCTCTCCAATTTCTAGACGCTATCTATCTCCCATATCTTCTATATGTTTTTGAATGGGTTTCTAAAATGGGTATATTAATAGTAGGAGTTTGATTTGTAGTTTTTTTGGATAATTCCCAGATTCTACTACCACAGCCGCCTCTCCATTGCCGGAAACTGCCGTACGTGCCTTGTCGAGGTCGAGAAGTCTCCCAAGCCCGTCGCTTCTTGCACCATGCCCACTCTTCCAGGTTTTCATTTATTTTTTTATGGATTAGTAATGCCATTTACTTAATTCATCTGGGTTTTAGTATTTTGTTGGGTTCATTATCTATGGTCTATTATTATTTAGAAAATTTAGATCATAAACTCTGAATTTGGATCATTGGTTTAGGTGATTGTTTGTTTGATATGTGGATTGTTAAATTTTTTGCCCACCAAGTGTTTGATTCTATGCTCAAGTAACAAATTTATTAGAAACAATTGGAACATGGAGTGTTTCAATCTGTTTCAATCTGCTTTCACAATTGAACATGGTCACCAATATATGTACACCATTGTAACTCTGTTACAGAGTATTGTGATTTTGTTGAGAGATAGACATTAATGAAGATCATTAATGAAGATCATTAGAGAGATAGACATTAATAGCAAATCAAACCACTGCATAATTAGCCAAGCCCCATGGAACATGGTCATCAAAAATTGGGATATAATCTCACCATTGTGTTTGTTTGTATGCATTTATTGATGAGATATGTTGTGGTTAAATTCTCATTCGTTGATGAATCCCCATATATTTTATTCATATTTAGTTGGAACTAGGTGGATTGAAGACAATTTTATGCTCTAACTCACTCAGATTCTTGTACTTATTTGAATGTGTTGGTTAGTTTAATCATATGAAAAGAAGTCAATTTTGGTCATTCTGCATATTGAAGACCCATTTCTACTACTTGGTCTAAACTTGAGCACATCTAATTCAACAAGCTGCTGTGAGAGCTTGACTGAGTCCATTTCAGACAATTTTAATAATTTTAATTATTTATTATGCAAGGCTCATTGCCTACTATTAAAAAAAATTACGTTAATCGAATATTTGTAGTAATGTGGTCAAATGATATATATTTTTTAGTTATGCGTTAATGATTTTGACTGCTAAGATATGCTTGAGAAAATACCAAATTTTGTTGCATCTTAGATTAATGATTGATAGTTGTGGATTTACTTATAGATCACTTAATGATTTTTAGCCTCCTACTATATTTGAAGGTGCGATTATTACAATGTTTTATAAGACGTGGGCAATGGGTGTATTGGAAAATGTTCTTGCATCTTTCCATTCCATTTCTCGATTTTCTGATTGCATTACTACATTTGCTATATTTTGCAGTTGGTGTCTTCAGAAAGAAAGATACCAAACTATATGAAACAAGCTTGAAGGATGAGAAGCGTTTACATCAATGGCTTCATTGTTAAATTAAGCAAGTGTTTTAGTAAATAAATTTAATTTTCCCATCATGTTTACACCTTCAAAATATTCTGTAAATGACATTTGATGTAGAATTTTTTGTACAGAGGACATCTTTTTTGTATGATTTTGTGTTTGTATGGAATTATTATTTTGGGTTGGATAATTCAGATTTGTATAGAATTTGATGTTAAAAGATCAAATTTTTGTATTGTTGAAACGAAATAGAAATAGATATATGTATTATTTTGTTTAAATACAGGATGCAGGTTGTACGAAATAAGTACAGGTTGTGAAGAAATTAATTATAATAAAAAAAAAAAAACTAAATAAAGTTTTTGGCAATTAAATGTTTAGTAGCGAAAAAAAAAAGAAGTGAATTTGTTAGTGACTAACCAATTGGTAGCCAAAAAGGAAAAAGGGCATCCTCACACCTCACCGGCCAAGGCTTGAGGCCACCGGCCTTGTTTCCTTGCCACCGGCCATGGGTGATGGCCGGTCGGCACTATTGATGGTCGGTCGGCATTAT